GTCATTTCCAGGTTACCGCAAGCAAGGAAGAAGCTAATCAAGCACGATCTGTGCTTGTGTGCCTGCAGTGGATGGTAAGGGGAGACACTGGGAATTTAAAAGTACCTTTCACCTGCCCATGCTATCAATTAGGGGACTTGTTAGTATCCTTGTAATAGCAATACAGTTGTAAAAAATGAATAAATTACAATAAAACAACAACAAAAAAAGATTAAACAATTCAAAGCAACTCCCCCCCCCCCCCCACACACACCATTGCAAATGCAAACCTAGGGCAGGCATGTGTATGTACACATAAATTGCACCACACATGTGAGGTATCACCATGAACTTCAGAGTGAGAGCAATAATTATAGGGACCTAATCTCTGGTTAAATTTAAACTGTAAAACCTTTTAAGACATCACCTATGAAGAATTCTGGGTTTCAAATTTTTTTGTGATTTCACAGGTGCAGCCAATTTTAAGGCTTGACATGTTCAGTATCTAAGTACTCAATGCAACACCTTTTATGTTTCATAAAAGAAAAATTAATACTTTATTGTGTTTGTTTGCACTAAAATTCCTTGTTAGTGTTTTTTTTTTCTGGATATATTTGCACTAATATTGTACAACATAAACAATTGCACCTACCTTAATTTTATTGTGCAGGTCTTCTCCTTTCAGAAAACATATGTAACCATTGAAATGTTATTACTTAATTAAAATGGACATTAGATGGTGGTGGCCTGCCAATCAGGGGCACGCACATGGACAGAATAGCCCTCTGGAAATTGTATTCTGTATAGTAGGACTCAGCTGGGGATCAGGGCAGTCAGGGAAAGGTAGCGTGTGTGGCGGGGGCATATAAATGTCAAAACCCAGGAGATTATCCAGGAGAATGCGGGGAAAGACTGGAGGAGAAGGAGGTGTGCTGATGGCTGAAGTGCTGAACTAGGCCACGAAAGTTGGAGAGACAGAGAAAGAGTGGAAAGAACCTACTAACCACCCGGTCTTCCACGCTGTCCAGCAGGCTAATCTGACAGCAGGAGACCAGATGGGACGCTGAGTCTGAGCCAGAGAGTCCAAGAACTCAACCTGTTTGCAGAGAAAGACAGACTGCTAAGATCCGCCAGACTACTTTGATCGGGTGAGAGAGACCCATGAACCCACTACCCATGTGAATACTGACAGTTTGCCATCTCAGCTATCTATCTACACTTATTTGTGAACATTACATATAGTTGCTTCAGTGTGTGGCCTAGTTCTCACAACCTCCATCTTTGAGACACATCTACATTACAGTTTATTGTACAAGCTGACCACAGGACATACAGTTGCAGGCCAGGATACAGCAGTGCCAACTAAAATGACAAGTCTCTCTTCTTCAACAAAGCAGGATTACCATTACTGTTTGTTTTTTTTTGCCTTTGATGTACAGAGGGAACTGTCTTTGCCTAAAGACATTTATGCCAATTGTTAAAAAGGAAATCAAGGCTGCAAAAATTGAAAACGAACAACAGACTGCAAAAGATAGCAGGACAAACCCCCCAAAATTCTTCAAATATATTATTAGTAAAAATGTCCGGTCCAAGCATTTAAGCCCTTTACAAAATAATCTAGAGTGGGTGACTGGGGACAAAGAGAAGGCAAATTTATTAAATACCTTCTTCAGCTCTGTGTATACAAAGGAGTATGGGGGAACTCTTGTCCATAATGGGAATGGTACTGACACAGATCCAGATGGTCCACATTGGCTCACTCTTGATATATGTAAACAGAATAAAGGTGAATAAGGCACCTGGACCAGATGGCATACACTCACGGGTCCTTAAAAAAATGAATTCTGTCATTTCAAAGCCATTGTTTCTAATTTGTATGGACTCTTTAATGACTGGCATAGTACCACTGGATTGGCATAAGGCCAATGTGGTGCCTATATTTAAAAAGGATCAAAATCTTTACCAAGTAATTATAGACCTGTTAGTTTAACTTCTATAGTTGGGAAGATACTGGAGAGTTTAATAAAAGACCACATAGATGAGTTCTTGCTGGAAAAAATATTTTAAGCAACAGACAGCATGGATTCATGAAAGACAAAAGTTGTCAAACAAATCTGATTTATCTTTATGAGGAGGTGAGCAAAACCTTGGACAGAGGGGTGGGGGTGGACGTGGACGTGGTATATTTGGATTTTGCAAAAGCTTTTGACACAGTTCCCCACACACGGCTAATGTGTAATATAAAGTCTACAGGCTTGGAAATATTAAATATAAGTGGATTGAAAACTAGCTAAAAGATTTAGAGAGTAGTGGTTAATGATTCATACTCTGGGTGGTTTGGGGTTGTTAGTGGTGTACCCCAAGGTTCAGTGTTGAGACCCTTTCTTTTTAATATATTTATAAACGATATAGGGTCTGGGCTTAATAATACAGTTTCAGTCTTTGCAGATGACACCAAGCTGTGCAGTGGAATAATGTCCTTACAGGATGTCTTCAACTTACAAGCCGACCTCAATGCACTGTTTCATTGGGCAACTATGTGGCAAATGAGGTTTAATGTTTGAAAATGTAAAGTTATGCACTTGGGGGCTAAGATTATGCATGCATCATACATACTGGGGGGGGGGTACATCTGAAGGAATCAATGGTGCAGAAGGATCTGGAAGTTCTGGTAGATCACAAGCTTAATAATGGCATGCAATACCAAGGTGCGGTTTCTAAAGCGAGCAAAATCCTCTCTTGTATTAAAAGAGGTATAGACTCCAGAGAGAGAGATATCATATTACCCCTGTACAAATCATTAGTAAAACCTCATCTGAAATATGCAGTTCAATTTTGGGCACCAATTCACAAAAAGAACATTGGGGAACTGGAGAAAGTGCAGAGAAGGGCAATCAAACTGATAAAAGGCATGGAGGAGCTCAGCTATGAGGAAAGATTAGAGGAACTGAATTTATTCTCTCTTGAGAAGAGGAGATTAAGGGAGGATATGATTAACATGTATAAATACATCATTGGTTCATATAGTGAACTCGGTGTAGAGTTATTCACCCTGAGGTCATCACAGAGGACAAGGGGGCACTCTTTACGTCTGAAGGAAAAGAGATTTAATCTCCAAATACGAAAAGGTTTCTTCAGAGTAAGAGCTGTGAAAATGTAGAATAGACTCCCTCAAGAGTTGGTTCTGGCCAGCTCAGTAGATTGCTTTAAAAAAAGGCCTAGATTCTTTCCTAGATACACGTAATATAACTGGATACTAACATTTATAGGTAAAATTGATCTAGGAAATATCAGATTGCCTCTAGGGGGATGAGGAAATAATTTTTTCTCCTGCAGGAGCAAATTGGATCATGCTTTGCTGTTTTATTTGCCTTCCTCTGGATCAACTGTGGGTATAGGATTATAAATTTTTTTTTTATGGTCAAACTAGATGGAATTTTGTCTTTTTTTTTCAGCCAGACTAACTATGTAACTATGCTATTTATTGCTGCAAGTCTGCCCATGTTTAGTGCTTTAAAGGGGACCCCATCCTAATTCGTTACCATCAGAGAGGAAAAGTGTTAAATCTCCTTTGTTCCTTCATTATTTTTGTGATACCATCCCAAGGAGCTATATTCCACACCTCAATGCAAGGTCATACCAACTGGGCCCAAACAAGTGTGCAGAAGCCATTGTAGTGTTCTTAAAGGGACAATGCTCAATTTCAAATGAGAATTCTTTTTTTATTCACATCTAATCCTTGTCATGTAGTTCTAAGGACCCACAGTGCGCTTACCTTTTACTTGATAGTTGTTTTGTGCTCACTGGAGATTCAGCAGTCCTCTCAGATTAGAGGCAGTAGATTATTTCTGCAAAGCAGGCCTGCTAACTATTATTGTTACTTTAGTGTGAATGTTGTTACTTTTTGTTCACAACTGCCAAGAGTGATTATATTTACTGCATATATCAGGATCATTTTGTTCTTTTTGACCAAGTTACCTTTAATTCAAATATAAAAACTTAATATCAGTTTATACTAACTTGTGTGTGAGACCATTTTACAGTTGTGATTTACTTTTGTCATGAGAGCACAGTGGGTCATCAGAGTTTGTGCTTTCAACAAAAGGTTCAGATTGACAGGGAATCCAAAAATTGCTAAGCAACTCTTAAGAGAGTAGTGCTACACATATAATGCTACACATATAATTGTTTTGGGGTTTAAAGAGGTAGTAAACTCTTTTTAATTACATTTACCTACAGGTAGGCTTATAATAAAGCTTAACTGTAGGTAAAATTAATATCTCCTAAATGTGAACCAGAGCTTGAGAACCCGGAAGGAAGAGCAGGTGAAGATGGAAGCCCCATGGAGCCGTGACAGTGCTCCACTGGAGGGCTTTGTTTCAAGGTAAGTCCATCATAATGTGCTAGTATGCAATGCATACTAGCACATTATGCCTTTACCTTGCAGGGTTTTTTTTTCTTTTTTTTATGTAGTTTACTACTACTTTAACCTCCCTGGCGTATGATTATTTCAGAATTTTTTTTGGTACTGAAAGCGGTACCATTATTTTGCATGGAAATATTTTTTTTTTTATTGTAGGGCTGTACTTTTTAGGAATAATTCACTGAAATCTGTCCGAACAAGAGTCTAGTAAACATCCCGGGTATGATAAAATTTGAAACACTAAATCATAAATTATAATTTAATAAATAATCATAAAAATAATAATATTATAATAATAAATTTAATTTAATAATATAATCAAAGCAAAAACACTTAAATTTGAAATATAGCGCAAAGTTCGCACATCACTGAGCAAAGTCACAAAATCGTTTTCACTGTTTGATGACGAATTTCCCCACATATCATTATCACTCAATTCTGCAAGTGGTTCTGATTTACTATCGCTGTTCTCTAGCCGGTCTAAAACCGCTTTTGACCTAAAGTGACGCTTTTTGGACACCATGGACATTTCTCAGTTTCCAGGCAATAAGAACAGTAAAAATGCAGGCAGTACACAGGACAAAGCACTCGGGACAAAATGTATGTGAAATGGTTTGATACAGTAATGGAATACTATGTGATTTTAGTGATTTTAGTGAATGTCACTTTTTGTCATTTTTGAATTTCCTGCCGTTCCGTCCCCCGTACGTCCCGACGCTCACAGGGGACGGAACCCAGATGACAGATGCTGGCATCCGCCGGATTACATTGTCGGGGACACTGCAGGAGGGACATCGTGGGAGCGCAGGACAAGGTAAGTGATACAGGGATCGTGGAGCAGCACCGCATGGTATTCCCGAGTGTAGCTCGGGGTTACTGCTTGTGGTACTGAAACTTTACCCCGAGCTACACTCGGGAATACCGCCAGGGAGGTTAAGGTAATTTCCAGCAAAAATTTCAGATTTTAACATGTGTGAGAAAAATTAAATACCTTATTTTTCACCGTATAAGACGCACTTTTTCTTCCCCAAAACTGGGGGGGAAATGTCAGTGAGTCTTATAAGGCGAATATGGAGTGGCCGGTCCGGTATTTCCACCGCGGCCGTGTCAGAATACCGAGCCGGCCGCTCAGCTCTGCAGCGGGACCTTACCTGTTCCTCTATCCAGCGGCGTGCTGTCCTCCCGGCTTCTGTAGTGTGGGCACTGGGCATGACAGCCGGGTGCCAAGTGCGCATGCGCAAGAAGCGGTGCTTTTTGTGAATGGTAAGGCGGTACCTGGGACACATGACAGATCCCAGAAGCCGCCGGACCAATCACAAAGCGCAAGTGCTTCTCGCTCATGCACACTGGGCACCCGGCTGTCATGTCGAGCACCATTACAGAAGCCGGGAAGACAGCGCGCGGCTGGATCGAGGAACAGGTAAGATCAAACAAAAACTCTGCGGAAGTAAGAGCGGGTACCTGTCAAATTCAGGTACCCGCTCCCCACCTCCCCAAAGGTCAGCAGTCATCTGTACTGTCCGCAGTCTCTGGTCATCCCTGTGCTGTCCACAGTCTCTGGTCATCCCTGTGCTGTCCGCAGTCTCTGGTCATCCCTGTGCTGTCCGCAGTCTCTGGTCATCCCTGTGCTGTCCGCAGTCTCTGGTCATCCCTGTGCTGTCCGCAGTCTCTTGTCATCCCTGTGCTGTCCGCAGTCTCTGGTCATCTCCTGTACTGTGTCTGCAGTCCATTAGTTCAGAATTTTTTTTTTTTTCGGGTTTTCTGCCTCTAAAACCTAGGTGCCTTATGGTCAGGTGCGTCTTATATGGCGAAAAATACGGTATTACCCCCGGTGGAAAATTGGTTAAAAAAGGTACCTCGCTGGAATAAGGGAAACCTGAGGATTGTGCTTGGCTCTTTCTCATGTTATCTATGATCAGAGCTGAGACTTACAAGACTACAGTATCACAGCTGAAGAAAAACCCCAGGAACCAATAAACAGCTTCCCCAGAGGATTACAGCTTCGGAACAGTACAACAAAGGTGCTTCCAATGCTCTCTTTACTTAAAGAACTATATGTCTAATCTTATCATATATAGCCAAAATTATTTTCTCTTCTATATGTGAAAGTCACCTCTGTGTTACTGTTTATGACTTCATGCAACATTTCTATCACTTGCACTTAGCTGAGATGCTGCAGTAAAGGCAGTAACAAGCATTTAAAGTAACTATCTGATCTACTGGCCATAAAAATCTAACATTGCCTTTCTTTTTACTATTGCAAAAAATCAGTTTGCAGCTGCTCCTAAAACACAATCACATTCTATAACTGTCAGAGGTTGAAAATTACCTGCATATTTGGAAAGCAAAAGAGGCCAATCTATTCCCTTTCAGGATAATTTATGGTAAAATCACCTGACTTCATAAAAATGTAAAAACAGCCATAAAAAGCATTGATTAATAAAATTGAAAAAAAATGTTACTGTGCAATACACAGAGGTGCTCTTCTGTAAAGCTAAATAAGAATTTGGTTTTGTCATTTGAAAGGTAAAGGACTGCAATAAACCACATTTGTAATTACTATTTTTGAATGGCTGTTGATTTTTAATCATAGCTGAAAATTTTGTCATAAATGCACTGACTGCAAGCTTTTTCAGTCTTGTCTAGTGCTTGGCAATGTGTATACTGGATAGAATTTTTGTTACCCTTTTAAGAAGTTGTGCACAAATGTTGGGGCTTCTGCCTCCCCTTATGTTGAGACTCTGTATATTGTACTTTTTGGAGTCATAGCTGTTGATGCCATACCCACCCTAATGTCTTACTTTACTTTGAGTGTGTAATCATGCAAGCAGGCTTATCTTGATACAGAAGAAAGCTGGTGGGTATGTGTACACCTCACCACCTGCTTTAACCTTCAAAATGCTGAGCTGCAAGCACATGCATTGCACCATTTTATGCAGTTTCAGTGTGGCCCCATTCAATTGAATGGGGCCACATTTAGCGGAACTACTGCCTACTGAATGCAACATGTCATTTCACTTTTCTTGTGGCCGAAAAGTAAAGCATCAAGGCCACAGCATACGTACAGACATGAGCGGCTGCCTTGCTTTGTTTAGATGGGTTATCAGGAGGAGCTCAACTGCCTGTTTTTAACACCTCCAGCCGCCCTTGTGAACCAGCCCTTAAAGTGTATGTTACATAGTTACATAGTTAGTCTGGCTGAAAAAAGACAAAAGTCCATCCAGTTCAACCTTAAACAAAAAAAAAAAAAAAAAAAAAGTTATAAGTCACCTACAACCCGACAATAGCGTTGATCCAGGGAAAAAAAACCAGCAAAGCATGTAATACCTATGAGGATTTGCTCCCTGCAGTGGGAGGAAAAAATTATTTTCCTGATCATCTGAATTGGAGATTCCGTGGTGATCTACATTACGCAATGGCCCTGTAGGGTCGTAGATATTCATTGCCTGGATCTTTGAACTTTACACCTATAAATGTTATATCCACTGTTATTAAGGGCCATTCCCTGTCATGTATCATATTTACAAGTTATATAAAGGATCCAGGCATCCTTTTTTTTCCAAAAGCAATCCACTGAGCTCGGGGAAGAACCTATAAATGTTAACTCTGTGTATCCAAGGGAGTTAAAGCTCCATTCAACTCAGTCTATTTTTCACAGCTCTTACTGTGAAGAAACCTTTCCGTATTTGGAGATTAAATCTCTTTTCCTCCAGATGTAAAGAGTGCCCCCCTTGTCCTCTGTGATGACCTCAGGGTGAATAACTCTACACCGAGTTCACTATATGAACCACTGATGTATTTATTCATGTTGATCATATCCCCCCTTAATTTCCTCTTCTCAAGAGGGAATGAATTTAGTTCCTCTAATCTTTCCTCATAGCTGAGCCCCAATGTATGTATCCAATTTTTTTTGTTTTGGCTAAATCTGAGAAGGTTTGAACACCTTTAAGGTGTTTTTTATTGCAGTCTTTGTCCCAGCTGGGGAGACTCACCCTGTCTGTCATTGTGACCATTGTCACCAAGACTAAAAGGCATATGGAATACAATATTATGGTTGTCCCTGGAATGGAAGGTGAGGGCAACTTTTCCAGTTGGGTCATATGGTTAAGCAATATCTGAAAGAATTTATCTTTTTGGGGGGATATTTCCTCTCACATTATGTTGTGTTTCTAGGACAGGAAGTGAAAGGAAATCTCTCCAATGAAATAAAAAATGAAACTTACCGAGATAGGCATTGTCCACTTTCAAATGTTTTTGTTATTTTAACTAGGTATTAGTGTAGTTATATTCCCTGTGCTGTTTTTTTTGCCTTACCTTGTAATGGTGGGCCTTTCTGTTGTGACTGTAGTTTGTAACATCGTGGCTAATCAATTCCCTTATGTCCATGTATTCCTTCACCTAGCTTGTCCCTGTTCGCTATAAAGACAGACAACCTCTTGTTCCAGGTCACACAGGGTCTAATCCTTATCTCACCAATTCCACTATGCTGTATCACAAATGTGGGAGTGCTAATGTAATGAAGACTGCACACTGACCATTCTGTTAATTGTTCTGCCCCTTTGTGTCTGTGTCAGATATAATTACTGTATAGTTCTCACCTACAACAGCACTGGACTGAGAGACCCAAGGATTGTGGGATATACAGTGTCTTCATGGGAAATGTTGTTCTAAAACTACAGAGGTCATGCATTAACGTGTGCATTACCATGCCTCATGTTTGACTACAAACAGAAACTTCTGACACAGGATGTGAAGATTTACTCTACTATAGGCTAACAAATGACACCATGAAAATACATGATCAATGCACATCTTATGCAGGTTACACAAGGTGCAGGTAGGAAGGTTTGTAATATGTTTAAAGCAAATTCCACTCAAAGCAAATATCATCTAAATATGACAGCATGTGCATTCTCATTGAATATTTTTGTCCTATGTGTAACCCTCCCAAATCTGTGCAGTAAAGCAGTTTGAAACAACTTCAATCCTGTTCAGAAGATTCCTGTACTAAAAAACACTCACTGTTTCTCACTTTCCTTTTTGCAGGCTTATTGGTCTTGTATCTGCTCCCACCCCTGTAGTTTTCAGGGGCCAACCTGTACAGGTAGAATCTTCTGGGTCCTGGTGTCTGTATGGGCTATATACAACACATTAATGATGTCATTGCTACTCTTCCAAAAGTAATATTTGGGTTTTTGAAGGGAATTTTATGCGCACAAAGGGGTTCCACAGCCTTTACAGGTCAGCTTTAACAGTTCCCTACTCAAAAGCTAGAATTTTTGGTTTGATATTTCACTATACAGTGTATCTTGTTTGTGATTGTCTTTACTACTTATAGATGAGATCATGACCACATAGGTAGGTCATAAATAAGCCTTGTTTCTCTGTACAGCAGCCAAATATCAATGAGGCTGTTTATTTAACAAGAGAAAGAGAATTTTCCCTTTGCATTGGAATTATCCCCGAAGCTTAGTGAATGTGGTTAAAATACACTTTGCAAAGAATACCCATTCATGTGCAATGGAAATGTAAAAAAAAACAGCATTTTTGCTTGAACATGATTGTATGGTGGAAGTCAACTGTGCTTCAACTCCTTCACTAAGCTTCCATTGTAAAGAAAACAGTCTATTTCCTTTAATAAATCAACCCCAGTGTGTTTTTTTTTCCCAAGTAATGTGTTAAAAAAGAAAAAGCATTAGAAGACAAGTCACCTGTTATAGAATTTTGTGTACAGTTCTCCTTTATTAAACAACAACATCTTTAGGGATCATGAACAATTATCAGGGTTTCAGAAATATACGTCACAATGCAGAACAGACTATGCTTAGTAGAACAATTTTCATTACTTTTCCACTCGGTAATTTAATGTCAGTCCATGTGAAGATACAGCAGACAGCCCCGTTCCACCATAATGTAACTCTTCCCATATCTGTGCTGTTTTG